AAGTAACACTCTCTACATTCTTGTCATGCAGTGATGTTCGAGGAAATAATCTTACTGGGACTATTCCAGAGAGCATAGGCAACTGTACCAGCTTTGAGATACTGTACGCTGGTTTGCCTCCACAGAGATTGTTGGAATAGAATCATTTTTTGATCAAGGGAAATGGTCTTAACAGTCTTCTTTATGATTTGTAGGGATATATCATACAACCAAATCACAGGGGAGATTCCTTATAATATTGGCTTTCTACAAGTAGCTACACTGTATGTCTGCTTTTACTATGCCGAGACTAGGTTAAATAGTAGTAAAAACTCAGACTCTCATGTTCATCTTGGTTCTTTGGAGGTGGTTGCATGTACTACCTATTAAGCTTTGAACTTTGTGTTTCTCCTTTCACCTATGTTTGCCTCAGATTTATGATCTGGTCTCTGAATATGTCCCTTATCTTTATTAATCTTCTAATATAAAGCTAACTACTGTTTCTTTTTTTTTGTTTCTAACTATATTCTGGGCCTGTTTTGTCTTGCAGCTCACTTCAAGGGAACAGACTAATCGGAAAAATTCCAGATGTGATTGGGCTGATGCAGGCCCTTGCAGTTCTGTAAGTGTCTGTTGTTTGGCTTGGGAGTACGACCTATTTCTGCTGAAATGATCCATTTTGTTCCTCTTAATTTGCAGTGATTTAAGTGAAAATGAACTGGTTGGGACCATTCCACCCATACTTGGCAATCTTTCATACACTGGGAAGCTGTGAGTTTTGAGCCTTTTCCTTGTTTTACACCAATCTTTTATCTCATTTTTAAATACTGTATCCTGATTCCTTCCAGGTATTTGCATGGCAACAAGCTGACTGGACCAATCCCTCCCGAGTTGGGGAACATGACAAAGCTTAGCTATCTGTGAGATTATTTACTTCAGTGAAGTGCTGAAAATTTTCCAGTCTTTGTTGATGTCTATTTTACTGTCATGGATAAACAGGCAGCTGAATGATAACCAACTAGTAGGTAGTATTCCAGAGGAGCTTGGAAAACTTGAAGAGCTGTTTGAACTGTGAGAACTTTTAGTTATATAACTTTTCAAGACACATTCCGTTGTTTCTCGAAAAGATGATTTGATGAGTTTTATGATCATATGCTTCTATACCTCTGTCATAGGAATCTTGCCAATAACTGCCTTGAGGGTCCTATTCCTCGAAACATCAGTTCTTGCACTGCACTGAATAAATTGTGAGTAACAGTTTTTAGCTTTCTCTTTTAATCTACCAGTATTTGTTCTTATCATTAATGTCATCCTCAGCAATGTTTGCGGTAACCGATTAAATGGTTCCATACCTCTAGAGTTTCAGAAGCTCGAGAGTCTGACCTATCTGTAAGTACCAACCACTTATTTTTCTTTCCTCTTTTTGTAAATCATGCCAGTGCTTTCAGCAGTAGGAAAGCATTGCTTTTGTTATTCTAAATGAATTATTCTTTTTTGCAACAAGTTCAAATATATTTGGCTCAGAGGGTGTTTCCTACTATGCATGCGCCTTTTTGTGAAGATCTCATGACCTTTTTTGCCGAAGCGACAAAGTTGACTAAAATATTGATATTTAATTTGTCGTGTTTTGATGTGTCGTCTCTACTTATCTGCAGAAATTTCTCTTTGAACAATTTTAATGGAGAGATTCCCTCTGAGTTGGGTCGAATTGTCAATCTTGACACTCTGTAAGTGATCCATTTACTTAATAGGCAAATACTTCTAAATAGTACTTTTGTGTCATATTCGATAATTATGTCTACTTCCATAACTTCCAGAGATCTCTCTGACAATGATTTCTCTGGTCCAATTCCTGATTCTGTTGGCGACCTTGAGCATCTTCTCGTACTGTAAGTCAATGGCATTCTTCAACTAATGTTGATAGTTGCAATCAGTCTTACAGCATTTTTCTCGTGATTGTAGCAACTTAAGCAGAAATGACCTTGCTGGACGTCTACCTGCTGAATTCGGGAATCTAAGAAGTGTTCAAGTCATGTAAGTCAATTCAGTTGTCATGTAAGGTTTGGTGTCTTCAATATTGTCATCCCTTTTCTTTTTTTCTGAATGTACATCTTTGTTCTACAGTGATATGTCATACAACAAGCTGTCAGGAAAAATTCCTGAGGAATTGGGTCAGTTGCAGTATTTAGATACTCTGTAAGTCCATTCACTTGGATATCTTAACTTGGAAATATTTGTTTTCTGCAATTGACTCTTCGTATTGGGGGCGGGCTACAGGATTCTAAACAACAACAATCTGTATGGAGAGATCCCTGCCCAGTTGGCTAACTGTTTCAGCTTAACATCCCTGTGAGTTTTGTCATATTCTTTAGTGTTCTGGAACGATGACTTGAAAATTTACTAATCATTGACTTTCCTTTTATATGAATTCAGGAATCTTTCTTTTAACAACTTTTCTGGTGACATTCCTCTGTACAAGAACTTTTCAAGATTTCCTCCAGAAAGGTGAACATTGAAGTTGTTTGTTTTTCCAGCTCAATTTTGTCGGTTTTGTAGTCAGATAAGTATTAGTTTGACTTGCATCTCCAGTTTCCTTGGTAATGCGCTGCTTTGTGGAAGCTGGTTACAATCACTTTGCGGACCAACTTTTCATCAACCAAAAGGTATCTCAAAATTTGCAATTTTGTCGGCTGTCATTCTTTTATGTCATGCTTAGTGCACTATTCTTATTGTTTTCACTGTTTTGCAGTCGCTGTTTCTAGAGCTGCAGTGGTTTGCATCACTTTAGGGTGCATTACACTGCTAACGATGGTGTTAGTGGCAATATATCGATCCAATCAACCAAGCCAAATTATCAAAGGATCAAACCGAGATATCCAAGGCATGTCTTAATTATTTCTCCATTAGTTATTCCTTCTTGGTGGTTACCGTGCATGGTTCTTTAAATTTTGTTATTGTTTCTATGTTTCAGGTCCTCCAAAACTGGTTGTTCTCCAAATGGACATGGCCATTCATACATATGATGATATCATGCGACTCACTGAAAACTTGAGTGAGAAGCACATAATTGGTTATGGTGCTTCAAGCACAGTGTACAAATGCATGCTCAAGAACTCCAAGGCAATTGCTATAAAGAGGCTTCATAGTCAATATCCACACAATCTTCGCGAGTTTGAGACCGAGCTAGAGACTGTCGGTAGTATTAGGCATAGAAACTTGGTCAGCTTACATGGTTACTCGCTCTCCCCCAATGGGAATCTTCTCTTCTATGATTACATGGAAAATGGCTCCTTGTGGGATCTTCTTCACGGTTGGCATATCTGACACATCTTCCTCTGTATTCCTTTTCCCTTTGGTCACAATTTCGAATGAATTATCACATTTCAGGCCCATCGAAGAAGGTGAAGCTTGACTGGGAAACACGACTGAAAATAGCAATTGGTGCGGCACAAGGGCTAGCGTACCTTCACCATGACTGCAACCCGCGAATCATCCACAGAGATGTGAAGTCATCCAACATCCTGCTTGATGAGAACTTTGAAGCTCACCTCTCGGATTTTGGCACAGCCAAGTGTCTCTCTCCTGCCAAGACTCATGCATCAACTTATGTGCTTGGCACTATCGGCTACATTGATCCAGAGTATGCCCGAACGTCCAGGCTCACTGAAAAATCTGATGTTTACAGCTTCGGAATCGTCCTTTTGGAGTTGCTCACTGGAAAGAAGCCGGTTGACAATGAATCCAATCTGCACCAACTGGTGGGATAAAGCCTTTAAACATCAAATTGTGTCTGTCACGTTCATAGTTTTTTCAAATGAATCAACTCCTTTGATGTGCAGATACTGTCAAAGGCGGATGACAACACTGTGATGGAGGCAGTGGATTCGGAAGTGTCGATAACATGCATGGATATGGGGCTTGTCAAGAAGGCATTCCAGCTTGCACTTTTGTGTACCAAGCGGCACCCATCTGACAGGCCCAGCATGCATCAGGTTGCGCTAGTGCTGGTCACCCTGCTACCTGCACCAAGTTCAAAACCCAGCACGGCAGCCCCAAAACCGACGGACTACACACATTACCTTGCAGCTGGTCCGGTCGTCAAGGCTAATGCGAAGCATGATAGCAGCAGCCTGTCTGACGGCCAGTGGTTTGTTCGATTCGGGGAAGTCATTTCAAAGAGCACTCTGTGATTCTCTTACTGCAAGGAAAAGAACTGGTTCCTGTAATTTTGTTGCTGTGATGGTAAATTCCGAAAACACATACAACCTAGAGTACAAAATCTTAACTTGTTCGGATCAATGGTCCTGTAGTACATATCAAGAAACTCTTCTTTGTTCTGTGTACTTTTGAGGTACAGGTCATTGTTTTTGGATGTCTAATCTTGTGAATGCCTTGAATGCTCCTATTTCTGGTCCACGAGACATTAATGAGTATTCAGGGAATCCATTTATGTGTCTTGGATCTTGTGTTGTCATGAAAATTGTGGTGTGTGGGATCAGGATTGCAATTGCAGTATTGCAGATGATGAATGATGTATTTATAGCCTCCCAAGTCCAAGGAGAGTGAAGCCTGCATTGCTGATAACTAATGTGCAGTGAATCAGACCACTTGAAAGAAGAAGAAAATTTGTGGGATGTGAATGAACTCATTGCCAGTGTTTTATGCCTTGAACATGATGACCTGAGACACTAAACCTAGTTTGATCAACCACCAGCTGAGATGAGGATTGATCCACACTTCCAAGTTACTTGACCTCGATCCATCGATAATTCCTAATAAAGAACAAGGATAATTCCTTTTCTAAAAGTATAGATCCATCGATTTAAAGACTTGACACTGATAAGATTAATTCTACATTAGTTGGAGAATTAGAAAGAAATGACACTGATTTCATTCTTTTTCCTCATATATATATCTATCAATGATCAAATCAAACAGTTGGATTTAATAATTCATACAGTGACGTTGTCGAATGATTAAATTCATTTGTTGTATCATTCAGATAATCTTGTGAAAGTAACTAATGATGTGAACATCTGAAAAGGAAATGGAGGAGAAAAGGGTGCTTTTCAAGGACAACACACACTTTGTCCAAACAAAAGAGAAAACAAACAACTGCTGCAATGACTATTCCACCAAATTGATTGCAGAGGTAGGGAGGGAGTCACCACCTTGCCATGTTTCTCTTACTTTTTTTCCTTCATTTGCAAGTTCTGACTTTTCTAGACATCTTAACCAGTAGTTGGCTGCCAAAAAAAGTCAACATTTTCCTTTCCTGGATTCTGCATCATTTCTTCTATCAAAGCCTAGAAACTGAAGTTGAGGAGATTTAGATACCATCAGATGAGCAAGACACAGACAGCAGTGAAGGTTGATTACAATGCATGCATGCAGGCAGGCATGCAGTGAGATCAAACTTGAAATAGAGACTTGATTGTTCCATGTAATAAATAAGCTACGAAGTTTGGAAGAACAAATCCAAAGAGAGGTAACAGATTTATGTGCATGACAAATCTGTGACTCACAAACCTGCAAACAATCTGAAGTCTGATACTGTGGTTAAATGAACTGCTTCCTTCATTTGGTTGGGTCATGTCACAAGAATCTTCTTCTACTCCTTTTTTATCTCTCCGAGCAATCCATCATCGGAGCCGATGGTGCCGTTGAGGTACTCGGACCACTTCAGATCCTCCGGCTCGCCGTCGAAATGGTGCTGGGCGCCTTTGCTTGGAAACAACTCCAACCACTGGAAGATGCTGCCGTCGAAGAGGCTGCTGCTGATTTGCAGCTCGAACTCACTGCTGCTGTTGGCACTGTTTGCGCTGGTGTTGCTGCAACTGCCGGCCTCCAAACACCGGAGGTCTGGCACGGAGATTGAGATCGATGACGGAACAACAACATCATTTGCTTGTAGAAGAGGAGTGCATTCGATGGTATGGGATGGTGGTGGTGCGGAGGTGGAGCTTCTGCCGCTGGCCATGGCTTCTTTGTCGTCTCCTCCCTCGACCTCGCTGAGTGGTCTGTGGGTGCTCGGATCGATGCCGCTCTGCCTCAACTTCTTCTTGATGCATGAGTTCCAGTAGTTCTTGATCTCGTTATCGGTTCTTCCCGGCAATTGGGCCGCAATCTGAGACCACCTGAAGGCGAGAGACATGAGACGGCATTGGACTTCAAGACCAGTGCTTGAACTCGAGAACGTAAACTGCCGCTACCTGTTGCCGACGGCTGCATGGAGCTCGATGATGAGTTTCTCCTCTTGCTGCGAGAAGGTGCCCCTCTTCAGATCAGGCCTCAGGTAGTTGATCCACCTCAATCTGCAGCTCTTTCCGCACCTCTGCAGGTCTGCAGAATTGGACATGTCACGCAAGGAAAGAAACACTGCAGAATCGAACAGTCGAATTACCTGCTAGCTTGGGGACAGAGCTCCAACAGCCATGGCCATACTTGGCGATGTGCTTCACAAGCTTCTCGTCCTCCTCCGGAGACCACAACCCTTTCCTCAGCTTCTGCTTGTAGCAGCAAGAGTGCCTCCCCATTCGCGGCCAGCGGAGAGCTCACAGGGCCAGATGAGGCAGTTTTGGCAACCGGGATTCCGGCCCTGAATTGTGCTGCAAAAGATATAGTGCAGAGGAGGAGACAAAGGGGAATGGATTTATAGCAGGGGGGGATGAGCTTTAGATCTCTCTCAAGTGAATTCGCTCCTTGTAGATATGTTCTCCATTCAATGGCTGCCTCTTTTAGAGGAAGAGGCCAGGGGGGCTTAATTCTGCTTATTGCCTGGTTGATGCTCCAGGAAGAGAACTTGAAGGACTTGATCTCAATCCCTCCAAGATCTCTATCTTCCTCCTACAGTTCATCACCATACTCCAAACAAAAAAGCCATGGCTTTGTCAAGGTAAACCGAGAGAGAGAGAGAGAGAGAGAGAAGTGCCATGAAGCACCAAAATACTTCTTTTCTGATGGACAAGAAGCCAAAAGATTCACTGTAAAGATTCACAATCATGGTTGAAAAGAGCAAAAACACTTGAACATGTCTAAGAGTAGATTAAATGAGCATCACAATCAACATATATCATGAGAAGAACTCAACTGAGACTACTTGTGGCTTATGATGATTACATACCTTATTTTGCCACCTCTTTTATCTTTCCAGGTCAGTAGTAAGAGTGGATTAGGTGACCTTAAATGATTGCTGTAAGCCACCAACCAGGTCTTGATTCAAGTACATTTCTGGGTTCATTACATCATAACGTCATTATAATAATCGAGATTCAAGTTTGGACACAGTTCTTGTGATGCTATCAGTAGTACCAGTAAAGTTGTTCTTTTCCAAACAGTATGAACAGCAAGAATCTCACCATTTCACTTCACCCTTTGTTTGCACATCTGTTCATTCTGCAACTACAGAAATGTGAACAGATTGAAAGTGGTTTGCACAAGCATGAGAGGATATTTCCACTTTTCCTTCTCCATTTCCTGAGAAATGATAATATCATGGGCTCTTGCTTGACTGTGCTGCAAGTCAATCCCCATCCTTCCACACTTGTTCATGGAAGCACACAGCAAGTTCAACATCAACACCAACATCATCTTTGTTTGATTCCTTTCGAATCCCATTCCCCCCCTCCCCCTGCAACATATTCCAAACCAATACTCCCCTCTTCTCTACTTCTCCTCAGCCATCAACTTTAGCATACTTTCCCTAGAAAAATGGAGAGTTCAATAATGTAAAAAGTTAGACATAAGATTTAATCAAAATTTATTTTTTATGAGAATAATCAAATATGAAGAACAAAACTCTTTCTGAATTAATTCAATTTAATATAAAAGTACTTTCTTTCTCAATTTTTTTTCTGATTGCTAAAGTTTTCATTAACTAATAGAGTTTCAAACTTTTATATGCATGTAATTTACTCCAAAATGAGTAATGGATAGAAACACTGACCACAGCTGCGGCAATGGGGCCTTCTCGAAGAAAGCGGCTTCTCCTTACTGTTTCCAGCTTAGTGCGAGGGGCAGCTCGCGAGCAGTGTGGGGGCGGTCCATGAGCGTGACTGATCTCTCACGCACGAGCTCTGCAGCTACCAACACTGTCTGCTGTTCTCATTGCCAAGACACGAGGAAGAAGAGGAAAAAGTAGTCCATGAGGTGCACTATGCAGCAAGGCACTGCTCCCGTTCGATTTGGCTCCATTAGCTGTCGCCGCCCGTCGCCGTCGGAGGTGCCAAAAGTCGTGTGGTTCTCCGTCCGAGGGGCGCGCAGGGATTCCACCTCAATAAGGGGGGGAGGGGAAGACGATGATGGATTCTTTCTTATCGGGTCGGATCCGTAAAGGATCTACACCCGGATCCGATAAAGAATCGTACGTAATTAATGTGAAGAAATGGGTTTGAACAATATAAGAAGAAAACGTTAAATACAATCAATATCTAAAATAAATCACCCAAAAAAAACTTAGTATTTAGACTTAAAATATATATAAATAAATAATAATTTGAGGAGACGTCACGAACAGAGTTCTAAACATGATGTTTGATGTAGTGGGGGAGAATGCTACGAGAACGTTAAAGGAATAAGTGAGGAAGAATGTCACGGACAAAATTCTAAACAGGATGTTTAAGATAGTATTTATGCATGTCTGTGTCTTTCTGTTTGTTCATGCTTTACGCAGTATGTAGAGGAATGGTCGAAGGCTTAACAATCCTATATTCAAGCTTCATTTGTATCTCTATCGTGATGACACCGATGATGACTACGATAAGTCCGACGATCGACCTCATGGATAGGTGACATTTAACGAGCATAACCACGATCACGATCATGATCCAGTATCCAACATCAACACATCTATGTCAAAATATAAAGAATCTCTCTCTCTCTCTCTCTCTCTCTCTCTCTCTCTTGTCTCTCTAGATTTCGAATGGCAAAGTGTCGGTCCAATTATATCCTTTGGGGTACTGCTCAAGTCTTTGTGTGTTGTCAATCATACATACAATGCCAAGCTACATGAGCTTGCTTTTGACATGTCAAAGATGAGATGCTAAATGCTTTTCTATGACTCCTCTGACCACCGTCTTCCTTATAATTAAATTCTTGTAATAATGCACTTCTTCCACCACCGACACACATCAAATTGAGAATATATAAATATATATATACTATTTTAATCTCTTTTTAGAGAGAGAGAGAGAGAAAGAGAGATGTTTTTTTTTGTTATTGAATGAATATATTTTTTTACATTATGTTAATTGATTTGATTGCCCAATTGACATATTTCACATTCAAGTTGATGTCAATTATAGTTTGAAAAGATGTCCTCTGACAGATTGGTGCCTAAGTCCCCTGAAAAGCGACGTAGGGAGGGAGAGGATGAGAGTCTTGTTCGACTCGAACTTTGTTACATCATGAGATGTTATCGATAAGTTGGATTATTTGGAAATGTAATCCCAATCGAACGATAAATATTATCAAAAGCTAATATGGGTGAGAGATCAATAGTAAATAAGTATCACAAGAGAAAAACAAAAAAAAAAGTTAAAAAGTGCTTGAAATTGTTAAGAGGAAAATAGATGAGGATCGATGATGCGTCTCTCGATCGGATATATAATGATGATGAGTCGATCCGTCACTCGACTCATAGCGCCAAGCATATTTTATATGTCGTTTAATTTAATGAATAAATATTATTTATTTAAAATAAAAAAACATAATATATTTTTCGATATCACCAAGATATGGTCTTGCAAATGGCAGCCCATGGGCCCAAACTGTGAGTTCTCGTTGTGCCGGCCCATGGGCCTAATCATTAATCCTATTTCATGTTTCCTAATTAGTCATAATCCTCATTGTTTGTGTGTCTCAGAGCACGAAATGGAAGAAAGAAGAGATGGATTAGGAATAGTTAGTTATACTCGTCTCTTCATAAGCTTTGACAAGCCTTACAGCCAACGCTCTCTCAACCTGCTCGTTGAAATGCCTTACTGAACCCAAAGCCTCCCGCGTTCCCTGTCATCGACTCCTCCCGCTCCCGGCAGCTCACCTTCGGTCATCCTCCTGCGTTGTCTGACGATGAACTCCTCGGCTTTCCCGTCGATGTCGAACTCGGAGAACCAGCTGCCGCAGTCCTCGTCGGTCCGCCGAACCTTGCGCTGCACCGGCTCCAGCGGCCTCGACGCGTACCGGTAAGCGTCGTGGCCCTTCCGCCGCTGCTTGCTGTTGCAGCCAAAGCAGGCAAAGAGGCTCCCCACGTTTCCCATCGCTGCTCGCTCTCTGCGACTTGCCTTGCTCGCTGCTGCAGCGGGAGGAGCCCGGTATTTGTGGTGGAACGACAGGAGCACCTCGGGGATTCCACGATCCATAAAAGTCGAGGCGAAGGGAGGTAGGGGACGGTGATGCTCGATTGGGACGGTGATGCCCATCATTTTGGGGAAGCTTCGGAGGATGCGATGACGTACCCGTCTTTGGTCTCTTGACGTCACTGGTCGGTCTTCCCCAAGTATTAAGATGGATACGTGGTGCCTAAATATTGGATGCTTTGTCCACGTGGTAAGTGGTGGGGGCACCCATAAATAGTGCGTAAACAAGAAGCCATGGTTTTCCTTAGAAAATATTCTGATATTTTGTATTTTATATTTTGAATCTTAGCTTTATGGAATAATATGTTACTGTTGAAATATGAAAAAATTAGAATTTAAGATCAAAACACTATATATGAATTATATATGAACTATCTAAATAATAACCAAAGGCTATATTACATCAAATAATTACCATTAATGAGACTATATAAATCCATTCGAAAATTACAAAAATACATATATGATGAAATATTTATTGCTATGATCTTCCAATTGGGATATCTCCCATATAGATAATACATATCCTTTAATTTTAATTATTTTATTTTGAAACAAAGATATGTAATGAGATCGGTTCATCCAAATACTGAATTATTTTACGAATAGACGTTTGTTTATTTTATAATTCACTCAACTTGATCTATTTTGGGAACATTAAGTGCCAAAGTTATTGAATAGATAAGTCCTCAATCCTAAAATAAATTATTTAATGTACTTTATTTATCGAGTTATGAGTATTTTACTATAGGTTTTTATCCATCCATGTAATTATTTAATGTACTTTATTTGGTGGGTATAGGATGGAACTATAAAACCACTATACCATTTTTATTTTTTTTAATGAATTAGAACATATGGATTAGAAATAGATATTAAAAAAATACTATTCAGATTAAAAAAATAAATTATAAAGTCAAAAGAGTAATCAAGTTGGAAAAATAAAGGACTTGTTATCCTCTTGTAATTATAACAAAGGTATCCTCTTGTAATTTGATAGAAAAAGAGAATAAAAAGATCTATTGTTTGGACTCTTTTTTTTTTTCAGGTATACATTTTTATTACTATTATATTCTACATATATAATAGAATATAAAATATCATGTTTTGACTATATTGCACTATGTATCATATTATCAGGATATTTAGAAATATAAATAGAAATATAAATGAAAAAAATATAACGATATTTAGAAAAAGATAGATCTTGATAACAAAACTTTTTATATTCATTTCTTTTTCAAGAGTATATTTATGTATTTATTTATGATCATGATTTAAATAGTTTCAATTTTTTTGAACCTATGAAGTTTTTGGGTAATGACAATAAATATAGTTCAATGCTTGTGAAACATTTTTAATTATTTGAATGTATCAACAAAATTATTCGATTTATTTGATTAATGATTCTTTTTAAAATCAATTCGTTGGGTACAATAATTATTTTTATTTCCTTTTTTATTCTCAAATGACATCATATGGTTTTGCAGTCATTGTGGAAATTTCATTCTCACTGCAATTAGTGTCCATTCATTCAATAATTTATTTAAGGATGAATTATCATATTTAAATTATCTATCTATCTATCAAATATACGAAAACCTCATCCCATCCATAAGGAAATCTTGATCGATGCATCTATCTATGAACAAATCACATTAATTAATATATTGAACTTCCTTGGTATCAAAATTAGTTAGAATTAGGTAAATCGTAGTATATAGAATAAGGGTGTACGTAAATAGAATTCTAAATATTTTTTTATTTACTTTGATAGCAGAAAAATATTTTTCTATTGTGAAAAGTATGGCATGATTATAATAAAAATGAAAATTCTTTTGTTTCTTATATGCCTAACAAAAACCTAATTAGTTTGGTAAATCTTACCATTATATATATAATGAAGAGTATTAGTTCTCTAATAATACTAAGGTATCAAAATTGTTAGAAAATTTTAAATTCTTTTGATTTAGTGATGAAATTGTTATACATATGAAATCCTGGTTATTTAATCTTCTTCATTGAAAAAAAAAAATCTTTTTCATTTTATTTAAATCCATGAAATCAAATTAGATAAATACAAAGCGAATCATCCAATTACAACAAAATTATTAAGTTGTAACTATTTTAGCTTCTAGTATACATGAGTTTATTATTAAATCTATACTTATATAGGGACAGACGAAATGTCTTGAGCCAATATCCGAGTATCAAGCGTTATTGTATGAAAGTGATCAATGACATACTCCTAAGAAAAGTTCGAACGACCATCAATAAAATCGTCGAGTGGGTAGATAAAGAATACATAAGGGAACAATACAACTCTCATATAACTCATATAAAAATAATATACAAATAATAAAAATAGAAGCAAAAATTATATGAAACCTTTGTCTTCTATTATAAGAAGAACTTATGTAACTAAAGAAAATACTTAATTATGATGAATTAAATACTTGTTCACTATAAATAAAATAACCAAATATAGTGTTATACTTTATATTTTTGTACCTTTAATTTTATTTTTCTCAAATAGTACTACTAATTTTTAAAATACTCAAATTGTTCATCAATTTTTTTAACTATTATAATGTTTTGACATATTACAGTATTTTTAATCTATTATATATTTTTTGACTGCCATAACAAAAATAGGGTAAAGCTTATCGATAATAATATAAATGAGTCAAATGAAATCAAAATACACTACAAATCATTTGATATGTCATATTATAATTTACCGGGAAGATTAGGAAGAGGAGAGTGGTATCCGACTCCGGGTTTTCGTTTGGGTCGCACTTAAGAGTAGGAGAAGGGAACGATGCCGATGTCGATGAGGACGCCGGATACTATCTTGAAGAAGATGATCGTGCGGAGGAGGAGGAACTGCGCGGCGACACGGTGGAGCATGAAATCGACCAAGATAACATCGGAATCACCCCCGCGGCGAGGCCGGTCGTCGAGAGGCTTCCGATCGTGGTCTTGTCGGACGAGGACGCGGCTAAAAGAAACACCTTCTGCGCGGTCTGCAAGGATGGAATCGCGTCGGCGGAGGTCGCAAGGCGGTTGCCGTGCTCGCACATCTACCATGCGGGCTGCATCCTGCCGTGGCTCGGGATTAGGAACACGTGCCCGGTGTGCCGCCACGAGCTCCCTACCCACGACGACGATCTAATCTCTCGCTAGGTATGATCTCGAAAACCAGAACTCAGCTCTCCGTTCTGTAGGGCGGCATGTTATCGAGGTTTTGAGATAAAAATCGAAGCTTTGGTCGCTCAGATGATGCGTGTCAACGGATGCCTGTAAAAGTGTCGTCAGCTCCTCTCATGCCCAAACGGTGTTTGTCAAAATGTCGCTTCGTCTTGTAAAGCTCATCATGCATCCATAGACAACAAACAATGTGTTGCTATGCATATTCGAAGACCATTTGTGGCAATTGCGAGATTGAGATTAAAAGATTGAAACATCGAGTAATGATAAATAAAAATCGAGAATTTTTAAGTATTTTTTTATATATTTTAATTGACGAGAAATTCGAATCACATATAGTACCTATAAAGATATTGACATTGGAATCGTATTAATTTAGTTGACTTAAAAAGTCAAGACGGGCGAGGCTCAAATGGATCCAACAAAGATCTGCTGCAAGATCTTCTTGTGCCTTCTGTTGGATCTTCGTCTCTTCTATGGCATGACTGGTTTCACTTCTCCGGACATGATTTGATTAGACCTCAGAAGAACATTCGGTTGATGTCACGGCCACTGAGGAATCCTTTACGGATTCTTCCCCGATAAATGCCCGTCTCGGTCACCCGCTCTTCTTACTGCCGCCATGGCTTCCTCTCTCTCAAACCACTACTCTTCCCTCCTAAAGCTCTGGTCCCAAACCCAAGACCGATCGCACCTCAAGAAGCTTCACTGCTTGATCCTGAAGACTCTCAGCCTCTCGGCCGACACCTTCCTGTCCAACACACTCATCACCTGCTACGCCAAGTCCGACCTTCTCAGCTACGCCCGCAACCTGTTCTACAAAATTCCCCATCCGAATTCCTTCTCATGGAACGCCATCCTCTCGGCCTACTCCAAGGCCGGGTGCATCCCACAAATGGAAAAAGTGTTCTTCTCGATGCCTGAAAGGGATGGCGTGTCGTGGAACTCCCTCATCTCGGGCTATGCAGGCCATGGCTCCCGAGATAGAGCTGTCGTGGCCTACCGTGCCATGTTGAGGGAAGGGCGCATACCCAACCGTATTACTTTCTCTACCATGCTTATACTCTCGTCAGCATGCTCGTCGGCCAGTTTGGGTCGGCAAGTCCATTGTCAAATAATAAAGTTTGGATTCGAGTTGTATGTCTTTGTGGGCAGTCCTCTGGTGGATATGTACTCGAAATCTGGGTTTATCAGAGAGGCACTGCAGGTCTTCCAAGGTATGGAGGAGAAGAATGTTGTTATGTGCAACACTATGATGATCGGGCTGCTTCTTTGTGGTATGGTTGAGGATTCAAAGAAGTTATTCCGAGAAATGGCAGAAAGGGACTCGATTTCATGGACGACGATGGTTACTGGGCTTACAAAGAATGGATTGGAGTTGGAAGCCATCGATTTGTTTAGGGAAATGAGAGCAGCAGGTGTCGGCATCGATCAGTTTACATTTGGCAGTATTCTAACTGCCTGTGGAGGTCTTTCTGCTTTAGAACTAGGGAAGCAGACCCATGCCTACATAAGTAGGACTCACTATGACGACAATGTTTTTGTAGGGAGTGCTTTGGTCGACATGTACTCCAAATGTAGGAGCATCAGGCACGCAGAAGTGGTTTTTAGGAGGATGAGAACTAAGAACATCGTGTCATGGACAGCGATGCTTGTGGGCTATGGTCAGAATGGATGTAGTGAGGAAGCTGTCAGGATTTTTTGTGAAATGCAAAAACATGGGGTCGAGCCAGATGATTTTGCCCTTGGCAGTGTGATTAGCTCCTGCGCCAATCTGGCAAGCTTGGAAGAAGGCACACAGCTTCATTGTCGAGCAATAGTTTCAGGGTTGATTTCATTCATTACTGTTTCTAATGCAATAGTGACCTTATATGGTAAGTGTGGGATCATTGAAGACTCACATAGATTGTTTGATGAGATGCAGACTAGAGACTCGGTCTCATGGACTGCCTTGGTCTCAGGTTATGCACAGTTTGGAAAAGCAAAAGAAACGATCGACTTGTTTGAGAAAATGTTGAATGATGGTGTGAAGCCTGATGGCGTCACGTTTATTGGTGTTCTTTCTGCTTGCAGTCGAACAGGGCTGGTGGAGAAAGGATATAGCTATTATAATTCCATGATACATGATCACCATATTGTTCCTGTAGCAGATCACTACACATGTATGATTGATCTATTAAGCAGAGCAGGAAGGTTAAAGGAGGCTGAGGATTTTATAAAACAGATGCCTTGTCACCCTGATGCAGTTGGATGGGCAACACTGCTGAGCTCATGCAGATTCCATGGTGAATTGGAGATTGGGAAATGGGCAGCTGAGAACTTAATAGAACTTGATCCCAATAACCCAGCAAGCTATGTGTTGCTCTCAAGTTTGCATGCATCCAGAGGAAACTGGGATGAGGTAGCAAAACTGAGAAGGGGAATGAGAGATAAAAAGGTAAAAAAAGAGCCTGGTTGCAGTTGGATTAAGTACAAGAACAAGGTTCACATCTTTTCTGCTGATGATCAGTCTCACCCCTATTCAGAGAGAATATATGCTGAACTAGAGAAGCTCAATGATAAGATGATTGCAGAAGGATACAAGCCTGACTTGAGCTCTGTCTTGCATGATGTAAGTGAGTCGGAGAAGATTCATATGCTTGGCCACCACAGTGAGAAGCTTGCTATTGCTTTTGGTTTGATTTTTATGCCACCAGAACTACCTATAAGAGTAGTTAAGAACCTCCGTGTTTGTGTGGATTGCCACAATGCAACTAAGTTTATTTCTAAAATCACTGGTCGGGATATTCTTGTAAGAGATGCCATCCGCTTCCATAAATTTAGTGGAGGAGTTTGTTCATGTGGTGACTTTTGGTGAGTAGTCAGTAGATCATCTTCTTTAGGCACATCATTTCTCTGCTCCTGATGTCAGGACACAGTCAGCTACTTGAACCAGGAAACTCAGTGGAGTTGCTTTAGCCAGTAAGCAAGATATCCAGGGGTATAATCTTCTTACTTAACTACACTTGTTTGGAGCTGATATATGGTGGAAATATCAGCCAGTGGATGTTTAATGAATATATTGAGCAACATGTCTTTGTTCGTCAGCTTGTAGGATGGATGATACCACAGCAACCCTATAATGACAGCCTTATTTGGGCACTGGCAGGGGCAAAGATTCATGTATGTTATGACCAAAATCAATACAGAAAATTGAGTTGGCAAATATGCAATTAGATTTTTACCCACATGAAGGATAGCAAGAGGTATAATAAAACCATGTGCCCTCACTGACTAGGGATCTTGCTTTTCGATGAAGCTAAATTAAGATAAGCTGATTGTGTTTCTGTTATAGTGGAGAGTGCAGAGACACCAATTTTTGTGGCCATAGTTATAGATGGAGATACTGACAAGATGGACGATTCTGTAAATACTCCGACGACTTCTTTTTTTGTAATTTCAAAAAGCATTTAAGAGGAAACTTGGTTATTGATTGAGCAAAAAAGAAATCTAGCTTCAAGAGTCAGCTAATTCTTCAGCTTCTTGTAATGCAAGAAAGGTATTCTTTAGTATGTGCAGGCCTGTGTCAAAGGCTTAGTGGAGTGGCGTGAGCAGGCACAGTGTTTGCCTGTTATTCAGTTTAATTTTGAAAATTTTCATGAATCATTCTTTTGGAATGGGAAGTGTAGAAATAAACACGGAGGCAAATAAAATCTGGGTTCTTATGCTGGAATTGTCTACGGAAGACATATTGACTACCTTTCAGCTTGCTAAGAATAATTTTGAACTGTTTTCTGTATAGTGCAGGTGACACCAGCAATTCTATAATTATAATTGTTGTTTTTTGAGAAGTGATGCGGACTTTAAACTACAATTGCCGGGTTGCAAGTTCTGTGCTTCTTGCTGAACTGCAGCCTCAGTGTTGAAGAAAGCATTCTACCACCATCGCAGCAAATCTCCAAAGAGAAACTTCAGCCTACCACATTTCATTTGTAATAAGGTAATGTCTGTTTTGTTGCCACATTTTGTTTCAGATTGCAAAAATAATAAAACCATTTTATAGTTTAAATTAGAATCTTAAGAATTGGCAAGCCTTCATATGAAGCAACATATACTCTTATTCACATACTAGTCTTTGTCCTTAATGGAGCAAGGAGGTAGGATGTTTCTTTTTCATCATCTTTGCTGAACAAGCAATGACTAGGTAGAATTGGATGAACTTTTTTTGCAGGCATTTCGTGAGAGACTGTGATTGAAATTGACAGGGTTTACTGCTGAAAATACAAGATTCATCACCATGCAGTAAGGAAATCAGGAAAGAATGATCAGATATCAAGATGTCTTTACTAAGTTCTATGATATATTCTTTTTGCTGATTGTTGGTTTAAGGTGAAACACATCAAAAATGGGCATTAGGAAATCTAGCGCTTCACTTCCTTAATCAAGTCAATGTTCTTTTCCTTGTTGGCATGACAAGTCTCTTCAGCTAATGATAGGAGAGGACCACTGTTTGTGGTAAAAACACTCGGTTAAGGTCTTAACAAAGCTCTTCAAGTTATCAGCACATTTTGTCAAGGCTCAGAATTGAATCCATAAATGATTTCAGACATCAGAAGTTAATGAGCCAGATATTTGTCATAGGGTGAGGTTAAACAGCTGTTAGTCAGAACTCTGCAATTGGGTTATTTAGCTATAAGCAAGCGTATCAGTAGCAAACAGCAGAGAAATACTATGCAAATCACTGTAAGAGAAACCAGGGTATGGATCCTCAGGAAAACTAGCATCTGAGAGTATGATACAATACTTTCTGAAATTTTATTGTATTCAAATCATCTTATCACAATCAAAGCCATCATCTTGGAACTCAAAAATGGAGATTGTGGGTGAAGTTGGACAGGGACTTGCAGCCTGCAGACATGTTCCTCACCATCAGAAACAATTATGGTCAGAACCAAGATCAGAAAAACTTTGGCTGGGTGGTCCTACAAATTTACAGTGGGCTGTATCAGCAACTGGCCCATTGTTTTCCTGTTTCCTACCAGCATCAATTATGCTGCAATGATTTCTTGGCATCTGTTTCAGAGACTGTTGCCCATAATTTTGGATGAGGGAGGCAGCAGAGCTTTTTGTCCCTGTTTGGGACTCTCTCATCAAGCTTCCACCAGACTCCATTGGCAGAAATCTTTGCTACAGGTTTGAAAGGTTGCAGAAGTACAGCAAATTCTCCCAACAAAGTGAACAGCACAGTGTGACCCTTCAAAAAACAAAGTGAAGAAATATAACATACAATCGCTACCATTGTGCTTCAGCATTTCTTGAAGAGGTCACCAACAGTATGAATTAGATCATTAAAGTAAATGAGTTAGCAGAGGTCATTTAGCTGATGAATGATCTATGACCATATTACTTGATGATATATCATGCTTGTGGTTGAATGAAGAATCTTGCTAGTGAATAATTTTGTATTCAAGACTAATTTCAAAGGATATCTACCCATGCAAAATTGCCTTATGTGAAATCCAGTCAACCTACACTTTATGAAGCCTACTGCATTTCTTATATCTTCAATTGGGGGTTCAGTCTGTAGATGACTTTGGGCACCAAGCAACCAAGAATCAATATCTTTTACAAGGTCAGTGACTCACAATGTCTTTTATCCTCTACTTTTTTCTGATTAATATTATAGAACTGCTTCAGTTTTCTTTTTTCAAGAATCATTCAATGTGATGAACCATCAAAATCCCCACAAGTAATCTACATGTAATCAACTAAGTTACCAAACCAATCCAAATTCTTAAATCCATAGTGGACCTGCCAGGAGTTCTCTTATTATTGCCAATCTACATACACTAAGCTATAGTTTCAACAGATGCAGAGAATGATCATTCCTAGGCAGCAAAAATGAGAATTATTTTTGTAAGTGATAATTGAACTTCCCAGAAGGATTTTCACATCAAAATTTTTAAATGCATTATTGTTACCTAAATTACAATCACAATCAATCTCCACAAATTTCAGTGCCTTCAGGGAAAACAGGTTGATAAAAACAATCCAAAGACCATTGCAGACAATATGCAAATTAGATTGCAATATACATGATCAAGTTTTATTTCAAGCAGCCATGGCCTAACATTATTCATGTCCACTTTTTGAAGGTTTTATTTCTAGCAGCTACAAGCTGAAAATACACAGGAGCATCACAAGCTCACTTCCTCCTCCCTCACCAAATTGTATGCTATTATTATGCTATCCCCAGCCTCTGCTTCTGCCTCTGTTTTGTGGCCAAACACTTTCGATCATGGAATGCACTCTGCAACAACACCTGGAAGTTCTCAAGAAAAGCTCCCCATTCCTCCTCACTCATGTCTGCCAGCCTCACAAAACTCGTGCCAAAAGGAAGTGTTTCATCCCTATCATATGCCTTACCAGTCTGGTTTCTCTTAGTTGTTTCAGTGAGGTTGACACCCTTCAGTGATGCAGCAGACTCCTCACGAACATGTGTGAAGTCAGTGATCTCCTCATCTTCCTCGATGCTCTCCTCCAACTTTGGCGGATGCTTTCTGAATGCTTGCAATGAATTGTACGTGTTATCCTGATCATCCTCTTTGCATTCGACATGAAAGTGTAAGCCTTCTTCCTCCTCGTCCTTTAACTCTGCTTTTGGACTTAGTACCTCTCTTTCTGCTACTAACCTCCTCGCCTCCATGCAAACGACCTCCAGCTCGCTGGGTTCTTCCTCCATTCCCCTCAACTCTCTGCTCATCATCTCACCGATCTCCGCCAAGCAAAGCCCGATTCTTGCTGCTTCCTTGAGAAAGATCGTGCACAAGACCAGAACTCGAAGGCAGGCTTCACGGATCATCGGCAGCTCCATCCGAAGCATGTCGGAATCTCTCGTCGGATCGAGATTGGCAATGTACTCTAACTCGTCTTCAGAAAACGGTACCGATGCCTGTGGCCAGTGGACCCACTCGAAATAGGGATCCTCCATGCTCTCCGGCAAGCAGAGGCCATGATCTATGGGGATCAGGTCCATCCATCCCCCAAGTCTACCATCCCCAGTCTCAACCTTCCTCACCAGCAGATTCCCAGCATGCCTATCCGTGTTGAGGATTCGTACATCGAGCATCCCTATTCTGTGGATCGCAGAGACAGGGAAGCTCGACGTGCCGTAGTCGCTGGCATCGAAGTCATGCGGGATGAACTGCTGGAACGAAGCGATCTTGCTGATACACTGTCGCTTTCTGCTGCAGGTGTTGCCGCTACTCAATCCAACGTTGACATGGAACACCGAGTGGGTGATCTTTACAAGCGCCGTCGGAGGAACGCGTGCGAAGCTCCCATGGTCAAGAAGGTACGCAGCCACCTCCCTGAAGCCGGTCTCGCCAACACGCACGGATCTCTTCAGGCCTGGTTGCCCGAGAGCTTTCCCGGCGAAACCTTTGGGATTGTTGGGTGCCAATGGCTCTTCATCCGTCGGCTTCACGATCGCGACCTTGTCGCCGCTGCTGTTCCTGAAGTAGTACGCACCTCCGAGCCCACTGTGCACGGGTACGGGATCGACACCGCGTCTGATAGCCTTCACGGCGTCCCCGACGAGCTGTTTCATTGGAGCACGGCGACTGGAGCAGCCCAGCATCTCAACTGGCCCGCTCGAGTCGCTCTGGTGGAGGTCCTTTACGCCCGGGGAGAGGCAGGGGGTGGAGGAGCTCCTGTGCATCGAGCTTCTCGTGAGAAGCAGTGGGGAGTCGCCACGAATGGCGCTGAGATCGTTCTTCAACACAAGATCACCGAACACGAGCGAGCTCTCCTCGGCGGGGACATGGAGAGCGAGCTGCAGCCTCCTCTTCACCGTGTGGGCATTGTCCTGCCGATCTAACTCGATCCCCAACACGCAGCCAGTCTCCGTCTGGATGAACACACGCCGCCTCCCCACAGGCTTTCCCTCGCTAGCTCTGTCGTCATGGAAGTCACCGCTAGTGGTACTCCTTAAGACTGCAACTGCCATCTGTGCCGGCAGGTTAGGAGACATGGAAACCAGGCCAGAAAAGCCAATGTGGAGAGCGTCTTCTTCCTCTCCTTGGTGCGCACGGAAGAGGCAAAAGCTGCAAGAGAGTAGATCGTCAGAAAAAGAGGACTCACAGCTAAGCCATACTTCTCCGTGAACTACTAAGATGCAGAAGAGCTTACACACACGAAGCACAGCAGGGTAAGCCCTCTTACCAAGGAGATCGGAGATCGACTCAGCTGGAACCGACGGCCGCGATCCCACTCTTCTCTCCGCCCCGTTCCCCGACCTCCCCTCGGTCTCTATGGAACCCCGCCGTGGCGGCGATACGGGGTTAAGGAACTAACCGTGGTTAAGTACAGAGATCTTGTCTGCGAGCGCATTCATCCGCCGTCGGTGCTCGTGATGCCAAACGATCTCACCCGTCGGTATGAGATCCGCACTCCCCTTACGGATCGACCGCCCAGGCGAACTGCTCACCCGGTTAGTGTCAGTGGGGCCCATGCTCGCCGCCCAACGACGGAAGCGAGTGATGACGTGGAGGATAAGTAGTGGGGGATCTTTGCGACGGCGACGTCACCCTGTCCGCGAAGGCTTTGGCGCCTTCTTTTCCTAAGGGACCGAAACAGCCGTACCGCCACAGCGGGATAATTACGTAAAAAAAAAATACTAAAAACTCTTTTAACATAACATATTAGAAATAATAGAATGCTGATAAATCATATTAGTAAGAAAATAAAAGGGATATGTCAATGATTGAATGCCTAATTGTGTGATCTGATCATGGAATGGTCGATGGAGAGCTCTTTATGCGTGGCAATAGTGCACAAGACAAATCGATCAATCAAGATGTTGAATTGAGAGCTGCATGACGACATTTCTGTGCCCACTTTGATGATCAAGATCATCATCTTTCAGTGTAGAAAGTCTTCTCAACAAAAATAATTTAAAATTGACATTATAAAAACATTAATGTAAGATCGTTGCTTTGTAAATTTGATTTATTATATTCAAATTTAAGATATCATTTTTTTAATAAAATGATTTATTATATTCAAATTCAAATTTGATTTTTTTTATAAAATGATTTATTATAAATTTGATTTATTATATTCAAATTTAAGATATCATTATTATAAAATTTACATTTATTATATTAATGTAAGATATCAATTTTCTTTTCCCTTTTTTTAGTTCCTATTAACAATACTTCGTTAAATTTGATTTATTATATTCAAATATATAAATTTAAATTAATAATATTATTCTCATTATATTTTTATAAATCCACTTTTACTTTCTTCTCTTAAATTCTTAGTGATTAAATCTAATTGGTTCAAATAATTAGGAGTTATAATAATAATAATAATATTATTATTATTCTTTTATTTTAATCATTAAACAATATAAACAGGAAAATGGAGATACATTCCATTATTCATCTGGATATTCTTCTCATAGTATTATAATCCATCTAAAGACAGTCAAAACTAGTGAGAAGTTGTAAATATATTTAGTGTATTCTCTCTCATATATATATATATATATATATCAATATTATTATATTATAAAATGAACAAATATATATCAATATTATTTGGTATATTGTCACAATTTATAACGGAGTGTAAAATTGCACTTTGGCCCTCTATTTGTTGACAATTGGCAGGTAGAGGACCCAATCAAACAAAAGGGCGCGCCGGGCTTAGGGTTTCGGGTTTCTTTCCGTGGATCGATCAATCTCCATGTGGTCGCTGAGAGCTGGTGCGAGTTAGGCGGACGTTGGACGACGATCAGGAGGGGGGAATCGATTGATGGAGTCGGCCTGCAGATCGAGCGGAGACGAGGAGGAGCTCGGGAGGGGACGGCGCTCCTGCTCTCCGGGAGGTACTGTTTTCCTTTTCTTACCCTTTCCTTCCTTTCTCTTCTCTATTTTTCGGTGTTCGATTGCTTCTATTTTCTCTTCATTTATCTCCGTATGGAAAAATATACCCTTTTTATTCGTTTATCTGGATTCATGGGGGGAAATTAGGCTCTTAACTTGCGGAGTCGAATAGAGCAATTTGGTTTCGTGGGGCTTTAATTCTTCTTTCCAATTAAAAGATGAAATGCAGTAAGTTTCTGCATCAAATCTTCTTATTTTGCTAATTCCTATGTCGGAGACCTCTTTTTCTTTGCCCTATTCGTCCATCTTCTTTTCTTTGTTAAAATAGTCTACTTTGCTGAGTTGGAGAGTATCCAGATTGGGTTCGTAAGTCTGCTTTCATCTCTTTCAGAAAGATTTCTTCTTTTTTTTCCTTTCATGGTCTTTTAAGGTATGGAATAAAGATAGTGTGTATTATATGGGAAGACTATGCCAGGAAGATAAGCTCGCATGCGTTTGTATAAGCTTTTTATTCACAATATTCTTTCCCAACAATAGCTGAATGTGCCCTTTGCTCAATGGCAAGAACGACTTCTGGTATTGAGATATTCCATGAATGAACAGGCAATGCGTGTTGAATGAATAGGGAGTGCATTTTTACTTCCAATCTCTTGTCCCTGTCTCTACAAGGAATATATATTAATTTGCTATGGCTAAATTAAATATTTTTAAGGTCTGCACGTGAGAGTAAGTGTTAGAAAGTTATGAGACAGTATGTTTGTAGATTTAATGAAATGATGACATGAGAAGCTACTTTTGTGGGAGCTATCAACAGTATATATGAATACACATATCGAAACATCACAATGCAATTCCTGAAATTTCAAACTGGGAAGGGTAGTGGTGGTCAGATCAACTGTGACTTGTTTGTTCCACAGTTCGAAGCTGTTTGGCCATCATTAGGTTTCTGATATGTTTTTTTATCGCTTGCATTTGTTCAGACCAAATGGCTTTTTTTTTTTTTGCTTTTTGATGAATAAAATGTGTTTTATTAAGCATAACAAAGGGTACTTCCAAACTATCACAAAGTTTTGATTGGCTGTAAATTTGATACTTCTTTTGCTTCCTCTCTGTTGTAGTGGAACTTTCGGCGAAGGTGGATGGGAAGAGTGGTGAGAAGGCAGCCATGCCCACAAGTCCAAGATCAAAGCATTCCGCAATGGAGCAACGCAGAAGGTGCAAGATCAATGACAGGTAGGCAAAATTACAATTCATTTCTTTTTCACAGGCACATACTCCTTTCATTAATATTCTCAAGGAACTATCTTGAGATCTTCTTATTGGATCTCCTCCATGTCCTTATCATAGACACCTCTAAACTTGTTTCTGTAAAGGGTTCAGATTTCGGATTGGCTGCAGGATATAGGATCAGGATTTTTCGAATTGGATCATCAAAATGGTCTTTTCTAAGAAGATCGGAAGTTTGTCAGGAAAAAAATGCTGAAACAATCAGTTAGGATAGAAGCCAACCAGTATCGACCGTGGACCAGTCAGCACCAATTGGGTTAATATACAAAGTGATCCTTATAGATTGTATTTATTGAGACCTGTAAAAACTACTTAAGGTAGATGAGTCAATTTTGTGGTTTCTAGACTATACCTGTCAAATACCAACTTGAAATGACCATTCTTGCATATCATGTCTAGTTATGTACTTGATGCAAACCTTATAGAGCAACATGTGGGTGAAATATCACTTTCTATAGTATTGATCTTTCCCAATGCGGCATACATTGGTATTAGACTTTCAAAGGACCAATTGAAATCTTTTAGTATTTAGATATCTAATTAGTCCTAGACAATCCAATAAGTCCTATGTAATCTTTTTAAAGAGGGGCCTCATGGCTAAAAGGTTGATGAATTTATGGCTACTTAATTCTCTCTCTCTCTCTCCTCTTTGGTCAAGTTAGCATCAGCATCCTTCAATTTAGTTCTAAAATATACAAATCTAGTATATGGAAATTTGTTTAGATTTTCCTTGTTTTTCTCCTATTGCTGTTTTTTTTTCTCAACAATAGTTTTTTTATTCTTTTCAACATGGTTCACCTTATTGATCCGTATCGGTGTATCGATTGGCCATCGGTACGGTACGTACCGACATACCAATCACATGGTATGGTGGGTTGTACTGACGGATTGGTATGTACCGCTCATACCAATCCTTTGTTAGACTGATACATACTGCCCGTATCGAGCGGTACACCATGATACAATGATCCTTGCTTTTCAGTGACAGTGAACTTGTTTCTATACTAACATCACAGAGAACAAATTTGCCTATCATGTGACCTTTGTTGCACTGTTTTGTGGCTAGCTTTCCTTGTTTGCCTCGAGTTTTATAATATGTATCTTTTTTGGCCTTCAGTTATTTTAGGATCACTTTTGTGGTACTACATCATTGAATTTAGGGCTAGAATAGCCAAAATGGAACAATGAACAACTTATTGAGCCCTAAGCTTTTTTTTATTGCTCTTTGACTTACTATGGCCAATACTTCATGCAAGAGAAATGGCTTATACTACAGATTTCAGATTCTTAGAGATCTTATACCACATAGTGATCAGAAGAGGGATAGAGCTTCATTTCTCATGGAGGTACAACTTTACTTATTTTTTCTATTTGCAACTAAAGCTATTTGAACATGTGATTCCTAAACATTACGCCCTTATGCAGGTTATTGAATATATTAAGTTTTTACAAGAGAAGGAACAGAAGCACGAATTATACTCAGGCTGGAATCAGGAAAATGCAAAACTTGTGCCATGGGTAATATGATATTCTATTTGGTTGAAATGGGCATGAGTTAATGCATATGTTTAATTTCTATATTCCTAAAGATTACCTATTTTCCCTTCCCAAAGAGGACATTTTCTTGAATTAACTCATTTAAATCATTTAATTGTGGTTCAAGGTAGCTTATGTTTGAATTTCTTACGGTTAATGTGATAACTGAGCATGCTTAAGCCTAGAAGTGCTCACATCAATAGCGCTTTTTTTGTATTGATGTTCCTTTTGTGTTGGCTGATGACAGAGTAACACAGATGGCATCTGCGACCCTAAAAATGGGCCTGCTCAACCTGGATTTTTGTTCAGTGAAAAGTTCATTGACAATAACATCCCAGTAGTGCCATTAAATGCAACAAATGCTGCAGAGACTGATACTAATGCTGGTACTGATACAGTGCTTGATCCTTTGCAATCAAATGCTTATGCCTCGCTTGAAAGAGGACCTGGTTTATCCCATCCTCAAGAGAGGTTAGTTTCAGATCCAGATAACTTCCTATCTCAGCCACAATCTGGATGGCAAAGATCATCATGTCCAGCTGACTGCACCATGAGCAGCGACATGTTGAGTGAACAAGAAGAGCTAGTAATTGATGAAGGCACAATAAACATTTCCACTGTCTACTCTCAGGGGTGAGTCCTGATTAAACTACAATATTATTTTCTCTTTAAAGGTGTTTTAGGCTTTAAAACTGCCAGATCATCTGCCTCTATTTTGTCGGGGCATCCATACTTGTCATTACTCAGTGAATTATAGATCATAATATCTATCAATGATTCGCTGGGTATGATTGTGACTATTCTTTGAGCATTTCTGCTGATAAGTCTTGTACAAATTGTTTAGACTTGAATTTTCTGCAAGCTATCAGGAATTTTGGCGTTTGGTAGGTTTACTACTTGCTCTCTTTTTGTTAGTTATATTTGTGAGAGTTTATTCATGCTTGTCAACTCTGGGTTCAGAATGACTTAGAAGAACTCAAACTGTTTTCTTATTGCTTATGTGCATGCAGGTTTTTAACAACGATAACACAAGCACTGCAAAGTTCCGGTGTGGATCTGTCTCAAGCTAGTATCTCTGTTCAGATCAATCTAGGTAGGCGAGCAAATAGAAGGTCTGTTGCCACTACTACTATGTCTAGTGCAAAGGTATATGCTATGTATTCATTTTCATCTGTTCTTACTACTAGCTTTCCATTTAAATTTGTGAATGCACATGGTATCGCAACTAGAGATGTATCGAGGTCTCGTCGGTTGTGATCCTTTTTCTCTAGTGGTAACCCATGGATGTCGGTATTCGTACCTCCTTGGTTAAAGATGTCTCGGACTAACCTTCATTCGAGTTCCATCGTTTAACTCGGGCCCCATCAATAAGGTTTCAAACGATAATGTTTGTTTGATGCTTGTTTGGTGGTCAAGAATAACTCAGTGACCCTTACGATGCAGTAGCAATGTTGAATTTGTTGCACTTTATCTGCAGGTGATTAAATGAACATGTCGAGAATAAATTAGATATAAATGCAAGTCTTGTTGCAATTAAATCATGTGCTTCTTTTGATGTAGGATAACTGCAACCATTCACCTCTCGATCAAGTAATGGGAGACTCGGTGGTGGGGAGCAACGGTGATGAGTCTGAACAAGCTCCAAAGAGGCAAAAGATTGATGACCATTAAGAGCTACTCATCTTCTCTTTCTCAGTTGTCATCCATGCTGTTACCATGTGACATTTCACGAAGCATGTAATATTAGAACTCAATGCATGTTATTGATCACTTGTATCTTTTAGACTCAGCACCTGCAGTCACATTATCTTCATGCGTCATTAAATCATCCAATTACATCTGAAAGGAAAGTTATGGTTCGAACTTACAGATAGATATCACGAAGACTGTCAATAAGTTTGATGCTAGAAACAGAACCCACAAAAAACATGTATCGCCTGATAATAAATTGCATGTGACTAGAGAATAATGAAGAAGCATGAATACAATGAACTCACAGACAATTAACATCTCTAAGACATGTTGACAGTTCTTGGCAGGTTCAAGTCCCTGCTGTTTAGATAGAGATGGCCCTGTGAACCAGAGAATGGTGCCTTCGCGGAAACTGGCGAGAAGCCAGAATAGCTCTTGTCGATCTTTGCCATGCCGACATCAAGAATATACTTTAATAGCTCATGTTTCTGGACGAGAGGTTGTGCTGCATATTCCTCCACTGGCATCCACTGCATTAAGATAATTATCATCCTACAACATGCTGCAAATTGGAATTGCTACTTTCTATATGCTTGCATGATCACACAGAAAAGCTGCATAAAGACTGTCACACAGCTTGCTACCGGTATTATTAACCAGGGATGGTCATGCTAGATGTAGTTATTCCGGGAAGAAACAGTTACTTGTATGAAGAACCAAAGGACGATAATAGCTTTTACCAGCCTTGTCTCTTCCTTTACCTGGGCAGCTTCGATCTCTAATTCTTGAGGATAAATGTCGTGTGAAAGAGGGCGTAGCATGCACACAAAGAATAAATCTGACTTCCCAAAGAACGACTTGTGGCTCTGCCTGTAAATACACAAATCATAAAAGGCTGAATGGTGTCAACTAAATGCAATTTGTTGGTACAGTTTAGTCATGTAAAGGCATCTACATCTTTTTTTTTCTTGGGCTGTGAAGCTTGCATGCGTGTGGTAATATCTAAAAGAACTATAACAGCGACAACGAATATAGAGAACAAGGCATCCTATCGTAATAAACTCGTCAAACATATAAGTTCTCAAAATCAATGAAAACCATCTCCAAGAAAGAATCACATGTTGAAAGAACTTGATCATAAATGCCAGATGGATATGGTACATACAACAAAAAAAGAAATGATCTTTTAGTTACATATATAGTTGTCATAAATGAGTATGCTGCAATACCTGAATGCAAGAACTTCAATAAATTCAGTGTCAACCTGTGATATATAGAAAGAGAAATTAGTTAGACTGAGCAAATTGGCCTTGAAAATTTTGAGGTTATTAAAATAAGAAGACCACTCCGATTTATTTTTTTATTCCTTTGTGTATCTGAAGGGAAATTACATACTCCTGTCTCTTCTTTTACTTCCCTTATTACTCCAGCATGAATATCTTCACCCTACAAAAGAAAAGGAACTCTTTAGATGGTGAAAAAATAATATCTAAACAATCCAGAAAACATCAATATTTTGTTCAATATTCAAGGTTGGAGTATTTTACTTGTTCAACAACTCCTGTGGGAAACTTCCATAGACCTAAACCTCTAAGTATGCCATTCTTTTCTTGGACCACCAAAACCTACCAAGTGAAATTATTTTAAGATTCAGAATAACTGTAAACAATGATGGTCACTAAAAAAAATGAAACAAACATCACAACACATAGAACTCCATTAGAGAAGTAGTAATGAGCAAAGTAAATGACATAAGAGCAAATGAATCTGAAGAAAGCATATCAGGTCCATATCTGTTGCCTATGGAGACAAATTTAAACATAAATAACACATTTGAAATACCTCTCTTTTATCATTCATTACAAAAGCTCCAACTCCCACTCTATGTGAGGCATTTACAGGTATGGTATGTTCGGTATTAGGAAGCCAACAAACAAGCATCAAGTAACTGGGTTCAGCATGGTGGTACCAAAATCCCTCCTGAATAAGAATAAAGTTCATAAAAATATTCAGGAAAAATTACTCTATTAATCAGGCTAAAATAAAATTTCCAAAATAAATGTAATGTGACTGCTTAAAAGGAATGATTTTTTTTATATGTATTTCAAAAATTCAGCATTCTATGACACATACATCTATAAAGGTCAGGCTAGAAGAACATATGCAAGTTCAATGACAAATTTTCATGAGCAACCAGTTGGTACAAAAGGCAATTCTGCCTAAAATGAGGTACACATGTTAGAAATGCAAGGAGATGTACTCATATAAGTAACAATAGATTGTTGGAAGATTCGATAATATGCCTCGAGTAAACAAATTTTCTTCAAGTTAAGATTGATTGAATAAAATAATTATGACTCCATAACAAGGAGAAAGACATAATCAAAAACGTAATAAAGTAAAAAGGGAAAATAAATGTGTAACAGATAACAAACTGTATACTTCACTTTAACAGAGGTTAAATCCCCATAACAGATATCTGAATGTATAGGTACCCTCTTTATTAACCAATATTAGGGTGTATAAATTCTCTAATGGAATATTTGATAATTTGTTTACACAATTTTATATTTCTAAACATTGTGTCTAAACAAAAAATTCATGCTATTTTGCTCAAAATAGCACAAAACCATTGTCTACATATCCCCAAACAGTTTTGTTTAAAGAATAGAATTGCATGCTTCACTACATGGATATAGGCAATTACCATCTATCTGCTAGTCATAAGTGCCCTGCAAGCCAATCACGTGAGTGATGACACGTGTGACATGACATGCATGCTTTTTTGCTCATTATTATTTTGATATTTTATCACTTTATATTGCTTGATACATAAGTATATTATGATGTCCATGAATCTATGCAATAAGAATCGGTTCGTGATTAGATCACAATATGACTGGTGTGTTGTATACCCATCCATATGATAGAGACGACTGGTGTGCTGTATACCTATCCATATGATATAGACGACTGGTGTGCTGTATATCCATCCATATAATACCTCTTTATCAGACAACGATTTCGTCATCCTAGTAGTGTACTTGGTCCTTAGACTTGAGACCCCAAGGATGCCCTGTATGAGTATTCCACTCTTTGATACCGGACTTATAGGTTTGAAAGTTCCAGATCTAGTACAACCGATCATCGGAAGTGACAAACCAACCTTACGAGGGCTATTGAGTGTCGACAGAGGATCATCCACTCTCGTTATCATGAGAGGAATATCTCATGTGTTCTTACTCAAATAAATCCTTGGCCAAGGTCATTCAGATTGAGAGAGAGAATACTCCGAAAAATTCCGAGTGAGATTTGAGGAGAAACCGTATGAGTCTGACAACACACCAATCGATAAGTCGAAGTCGATAAATTGAGTGAATTGTTATGAAGATAATAATTCACTGAGTCAGAAGGAGTTCTGACAGGTACGACTCACGGCCAGCTCGATATTGGACCTAGAGGGTCACACATATATAATAAGTATTACGACGAGTAGAGGTTCAGATATGAGATATCCACCGGAGCCCCTATCTTATTAGATATTCATTAAGGCCTGAATTATTAGATCTTATAGATGAGATCCAATAAAAGCTAATCATAGATTAATGGGTAGAGACTCACTAATCTAAGAGGCTTGGATAATTGGATGAAAATACAATACCCAATAAGACAGGATCCAAGGAGCCTCTATAAATAGGAGAGAACCAAAGTACTATATGTCAGGGTTTTTTTTATTGTCACCTCCTATTATCCTCTTTCCTTCTCCTTGGACATCAAGAAGAGGTTGGGGCTGCCCCTTCTTGATTACGTGGTGCACGCTGCGATGAGGATTATGCAACGATTTGAAGAATGCTGTGTGGATCATCGCTAGAGAAGAGGGACCTCTTTCATCCTATTTGTAGGAATTCAGGGATATATGATCTCCTTAGGTAACACAATCTCCTATATACGCACAGTTTTTTTGTTTTACGGGTTTTTATGCACCAATTTTTGCACGACAGTAAGAAACATTTTTATGTGGGAAATCTATTATTTCTGTTTCTGTTTTTCCGCTACGCATATGATGCCACCCCAGATTTCCCAACACTATCTTGGTTACATATAAATGTGTCTCCTGCATGTATATACACAGAAATAGAGGGTGAGAGATGAGAAGATAGAATAAACTTTTAAGATTCATTGAAGAATTCTTTTTTACAAATTGTTGAATCATAGATAGAAGGCATTCATGAAACTTCAGATAGGAATTTCTTGCATATCATTTGTTTATAAAAAAAATTACCTTAACACAAGCTTCAACAAGATTTGCAAGTTGAATAGGCAATTTAATCCAAGCACCTTTTATTCCCTGAAAATGGAATAAAATAATGGCAAATATTAAATTTCAAGCCAACTGTACATGCATTCAAAATTTATGCAAAAGCCAAAAACAAAAGATGAAAGTATTTGGGAGACACAATTGTACAACAACACACTATTGTCCTAACCATTTGGAGTTGACTACATGAATCTTTTACCATGTCAATCTTTGTATAATACATCATGTATAGTTAAACTTAGCAAACACCTACTTTTATTGCTTCTAAGAAGCCTTATCAAGTCTCTCTCAACCTTTTCTTGGCATCAACCATTTTATCTAACATCTAAATCCCCTTCAACATTTGTTCACAATAACTTATATGATTTCATCTTATATGTTAAAGTTAAACCTAGTTATTTATGAACGAAAATATTTCTTTCCTTTAGTGTTTTATCTCAACTACAATTAAATTTTTGTATGTTCTTTTAACAGTCCAACACCACTATTATAAGGCATGGCCAACCTAAAAAATATCATATGAATTTTTTTTAATATAAGGGACATTCGATGATCATAAAACCTTTGTTCAATTTTTACTATGTGAAGAATATCAATTTCTCCTTTTTGAATGATAATCTAAAATAACTATAACTGCACCCCTTGTTCTTTTCTTAGTATTACAAATTCATAGATCTTGTCTTAGTTCTACATGATATAAAACCTACGAAATAATTTTCTAGGTAAGTCTGCATAATTCAAGTTCATGATTAATCTTAGCTAAGCTGTCACCAAGAAGAACAATACCATAAGCAAATAACATATACCATGTGAACTAATCTTATATATAACTAGTAAGACCTACATTAGCAATGCAGAACACTATGGATCTAAAATGGATAATCACTTAACTCTCTTAATCATTGAAAAATCACTATAATGACTATCCTATGATAAATATTTTTTATCATATCACTATACTTACTAAATACTTCTTTCTATTTTAAAACCCATCATAATAGATTCCTAGAATTCTATCATAGGCCCTTTTTAAGTCAATAGAATTATGTACAAATGTTTGTTCTTCCTCTATCTTCCTTTATCTTCCACCTTCTTACTCCTCTTCTTCCGCCCTTCCTCTTCTCTCTTTCTTCGTCGTCGAAACACGAATGCCGACAACCAATAAGGGTCCAGTACCTGATACGATACGACAATCCTTAAATATTGTACATGTTCTATCTATTGCATAAGCATTTGGCAGCACATTCAAAGGTAAAAGTATTCCCAAGCAGCATATGCAATTTAGCATATGCCATAGAAAAGGAGTCATGTTCATAAAGCAGCAACTCCAGTATACCATTTCAAAGTTTCTAAAACAAGGAGAGCATATAGTCCTCCACTATTGATATTAAAAATATTTCATGTAATGAACAAGCATATTAATTGGCTTCAGATGTTGAGCCAGTTGCTATTACTATGTAGCACTAGCTAGTTTATGTACCAAGAAAGCTGAAGCAAAACACAGGACATCCAAGAGGGGAAAAAATATCCATGATTGAGAAAATAACCTGCTTCTTCCAATTACTTATAGATGCTCTTAACGAAGTATGGAAAGCTGCAGGGTCCATTGGTTCCTTCAATTCAACAATGACACCTCCATGGTCATCATCGACTGCAGACAGCAGAGCAACCTCTACATCATCAGTCAATTCTGGACCCAAAACGGATGACTGATTCACTAAAATCGACATAAATCTGTTCCTGAATAGTTTTGCAGCCCTCCTAGAACCTGATAATTACAAAATAATTATAAAATAAGATAAACAAAGTGAGATCGTAATCTTATTAAAATTGCAAAATCATCATTGGTGTTGCAACAGAAGAAATAAGACACTAAGAAGACCAAATAGTAACAGCAAGAAACTTAGTATGTGTTACATGCTTCTTATTCATCTAAGTGTGTATTCAATAGAAAACAGTATATTCAGAGTAAAAACATGTAGAATATGGCAATAAAATAATTATAGTCTACTACACAATTTCACTGAACGTAAGTGGCATGTCATTCTCAAAGCCTCCTAAATGATTGTTCGACATTGCTCTTCTTTTTTTTTTTTTCATTTTTCGTTTTCTATTTTGCGTGTAGAGCGGTCAATGAAACATAGAGGTCAGATAGAAAAAGAACAGTAAAAGTTTAAAGTACCTGAAACGAAAGGCCTAATTTGTCCTTGGTTCTAAAATCAATTTGAAGGACACATTAAACAAGAGCAAATTATTGACTGATGTGGAAAGAACAGCTAGCAACATAACAGTGTGCAAAGGTCAATTCCTAATGAAACAAAAAAGTGAATGGGCCCAATATAAGACGAATACAAATTTTCCGGTAAATAATCATCATGATGGTAAGCATTATTTTCCTGCATAAAAGGTCAACAAAAAAGTGGGGAAGATAAACAAACATTCATCTTTGTGTAATCCCCCCACCCGGAAAGGAAAACACGCATTCAATTTCAACTAAAGTTGCAGCGCAACTAGTTGCTCTGCCATACAATTGGTAGGCGGATCAGATGCACAGGACTAAAACAACCAAAGGTAATCAAGAACCAATCTGTAAATGAAAATTGCCGAGAGGATAACATCAAAAACCCATCTCCAAACGGAAATATCCAATTTTCGTCGAAAGAAAGGGCAACACCAAGAAGCCTAGCGCTAACCACGAAAACGAAGGAGGACCGAAATCGAAGTATCGGCAAGCCTGTCGACCACGAGAGAGGATCCGTCGGCAGCGATTCAGGCGATGAAAAGGCCGATGGTAGCGAGCGCGTGTAGATCGGGACGTTAGGATCGGATCATCGCTTCAACAGACGAAACCAAAGGCAATTCTCTAAACGACAACCCTAAGCCAATGACGTGATGATGCGATTAGCTATTGCGGCCCGCAACCGAATCAGCGGCGGCACGGGAACCACTCCGCGAGAAACACCTGATGCGGATCCTCTCCAGCTTTGCTTTCAAATAGAACTCACAATATTCATCAGGAGCCGTCCACTAATTTAGGCCGCACAACGGTATACGCACGATCGAACCGTTTCATCCTTCAGATCGAGATTGGACGGTGGGGATAGACATCCCCAAGCATGAGGAAGTCAAAACTGCGATGAATGAGTCGACGCCGTAGTTACAGATGTTGTGTTGGAGCTTCTCGGCGCCGTAATCTTTGAAGCAAATTGCAACTGCACCACCTTAGCATCTGTTCTACTCTTGAGTTCTAAGGAGATAAAGGAATCGTATAGAGATCGAAATACTACAACGCCAATTCAAGAAGAGAAAGAACGAAAGCCCGATGATGTCTGCCGATCGGAGACGAAAGATCACCGAACACTGTTGCGTGGCGTCCGACTCTGTTTCGAACAAAGGGGAAACAGAGGCGTCTCATAAAAGCTCTCTCGAGAACAGGGTACTACCATCTCTTTGTTTACCCAAATAACCCTTGGGTTGGCAACTTCACAGCGAGACTCCCGCGTAATTTAATGAGGTTTATGAGGGTATTATAGGTATTATGGTTCCCGATCAAAAGCTGGATCCATCTCTCGGACCACCGAGATCAGATCTGGACCGTCCAACCTGTAAGGGACAAAGTCGTAATACAACGAAACGAGGCACAGCTACCGTAAATGGTGCGACCCGCTTCGGTGACGGATGACGTTGGATCCTCGGGGTCTTCGCTGGGGTGAGTCAGCCCGATCGAAACACGCAGCGGCCGGACTTTGTCGGCCTACCTCTCGTGTATTCATCTTTACCCTCCTTCGCTGGATTCTCGTCGAAGGAATCCCGTGCTTCCTACTACCGTTACCCTCGAATTCTCGGATCATCTGTCGATCCCATCCACGATCGCCCTCGTAGGGTCCTTGTATCCCCTAAGGACGATCGATCGGTCTTCTCTTCTTGGTCCGTGTTGGGTTCGATCTCGAAGATTTGATCATCTGTCGCAGACATCTCTTTCTCCATGCTTCTTTTTCTTGTTTTTTTTTTTTACCTCGTTTCGACAATGGATTATCCCGTACGCGATCGTTGGGAGCGATCAAAGAGAGAATTTTCAGTTTTCCATCTAGGGTTTTGGTTTTGAATTGGGGATCCGGGGCTAAAACTTTGTCTTGTTGCAGAGGTTTGTCCCTTAGAAGCCCGTCAAGATGTTCAGTAGGCTGTTTGGAAAGCCCAAGGAGCAAACCAATGCCGTGGCCACTCTCGATAAATTAAATGAGGTACCGATGGATTTCGCCCCCCTTTTCTTTGGTTTAATTTATCTAATTATTTGTTATTGGGTGCAAAGTGCACAGTTGACTAGTGGAATTTCTTGTATTACGAAATTGCTTTTGTGTTTGTTTGGATACTATATGATCAGGGTATATGATTGATTGCCTTTCTAGATGGTGGCCTATTATGGTCCTCGCAGTAACAACACTGAAAACCTATGTAAACATGAAAGAAAGATTGTCTTTTTTTACTTTGTCTAATATGATGGTTATTTTGTGTTAGAATCTTAATGACAATCAATCTCTGATGTGTTTGGCCAGTTGTTAACAGAAACCTTCCTCTCGTTTTGTTATTTTCTGTTTGTTTTCTTATTGCCCTTAGGAAGTCCCATTGCTGCTGAACCCGCTGATAGTAGTAGTTTCATTTTCTGTGCTTCTGATAGTATATTTTATGTACTTTACTAGGAACGATGTTTGAAAGTAATTCTGTGTGGTGCTACCTTCCTCAAGATTTAGGTAAAGTCTGTCCAAGTTTATCATTATATAGGATGATGGCAGGAGAAATTTTTACTTATGACAAATATGATTTGTGGTAAGGTGTCTTGCAATAAGGTCTTTTTTTTTCAGCTCACTTTGTGGTGCAGCTTAGTCTTTTTGTTTTCTTTTTCTGAAGCTAGATATGATTATAATTCATAATTACAAATGTAATTCTATCTTTTACATAATTAAGTTGCATTAGCTGTTGGGAGAACTAAGGCTGAGTGCTTTCCATAAGTCCAATGATTTTCTCAGATATGCTCCAAAATGTTGAAAAGTTGAAGCTATGACATAACTAATGTGAGATAACTGACTTTGTTGATCTAAAATCTAACTGATCTATATGAACCGAGTGAGATTAAAGACATTATAGCGAAGTAAGGGGCCAACAAAAGATCAAAGTAGAAAAAAAATCAAGTTCTTGAATTAGAATAACATTCTTGTAGAAGTTGAAATTGAAAGGAGAAGCAAAAATTATGACAGTGGTTGCATGGTTGACCATGTATTGGACATTTATGTATACTCACATTTATGCATCCTCGACTGCATTGTAAGCTCCTTTCTTTCTTTGGAGGCAAGTCTTATCTAAGGCTTCTGCACTTCAACTTAAGTAAGCCTTTCTGTGATATTCATAGTTCATCAACCGTGCTTGTCTACAGATACGGGTTGCTCTTTGTATTCTTTGATTTATCATGGTGGAAAGATAGACTTTATACCTATCAAGTATAAAGATCTAGAAAAGAGTTTTTACAACCTGGATAAAGAACTAATCCATTGCATTCCTTGCCTTACGATGAGAGGATGTGTGTTGGGACATCTGCTGATGACGGATTTAAAAGTTGTCACTTGATTCTCCAGGACATAGAACCTTGAAGCCTGCCACAAGGGTCTCATGTTACTTGTCATGATCTAAGTGATAAAGGAAAGAAGTTCAGGTTCATCATAGGAGAAGGTGAAGAGAGGTCTAACAGGGGAATAAAAAGGGGAGGCAACAGTTATGGGCATGTGAAGTACTATAAAAAAAGTCAAGAAAGATAGACTCTTATAAAAAGAACTTGGAGTATGGATGCAGAAGATATATTGCCATGATCAGTTTGCTATTTCTGCCATAGTTATCAAATCATATAGACTATGATGTTCGTGTCTTGAGGTCCAATACAGTGCTTATCAAACTCAAAAGGAGTGAAGCCAAGACTCGGACATGTGTTCTTTTGGAATTCTTATTTGATTTGTTTCAATCTAAGCTTGTGCAATACTTTGTAGATTTGATTATTTGGGGTGACTTCATGTACCTTTTCCTGCCATTGAGCTTTACTAAGGGTAATACCACTAGTCAAATTGATAGCCATCAATATTCTTTTATTGTTTCTAATAAAGCCATACTAGGGCTTCCTCTACCTTTCTTCTCACCACTAGTTTCTTATCTTAACAATGCATTTATAAGTCTACTTTTGAACATGCCCAGATTTTCTTGAACATATTTTCTGATAATGGGTGCTATCCTAGTTGTTCACAAATGGAAACATTTTTTGTTGTATAGTTTTCAAGTAACCTTACACATCCATTTAAATCTCGAACAACGTTATTTTAGCAATACTAACTCTTATGTGACCCTGAACTAATTAGGTCAGAAGCCTTTTTCTTTTCCAGAAATTATGCTGGATTATTTTGATTACTATTCTATTGGAATGCTATGCGTGAATAATGCACAATAATAACAAATGATGCTTCATCTGTTTGGTGCATCTGACTGATCTTAGAAAAATGATTTACACTATAAATTTTCCTTTAATGATTTTGTTATTAACACTGCAAATTGTGATATATGTGGGAATGGGATGTGAGCAATTCATTTTTTTTGTAAAATTGTTATAAGGAAAGCTGCCTTTGGGCTAAATATTGATAACTTTGAGATGGTTCATAGGTTTCTTTTTATTTAGTACTTGAAGAACAAAACTTCTGATGCTTTATTTTGTATTTAATTTCACAATGAAGTTTTTGAACTTCTATATAAATCTTTAAAAAATCATCTTTCTTCATCCAAGAAGCGGTACCTAAGTAAATAAAATAGGTGTTGAGTCATGTATGGTGTCCTCTATTATGGTTTCACATGGTAGGTATGGACATTTGAAGTGACTCGTTATGTATATGCACCTAAACATCTCCCTTAAAATGACTGTGATCCTCACGCCTCAGAGATATGATCTCTTTCACATGAACTGTAAAGTCATTGTTATCATAATTAGCATAGTTGCAATACTGCATTAATTATTTCTCTAATTTGCTGGTCTTTATGCTGCAGACACTTGAGATGCTCGAGAAAAAGGAGAAAGTTCTCTTGAAGAAGGCTGCTGCTGAAGTTGAAAAGGCTAAGGAGTTCACAAGAGCAAAGAATAAGAGAGGTACAGATTTATGATCTACTTGTGGATGTTTATAATGCTCACAAATGCTAGTTCTACCAACATGATCTGTTAGCATGGTCTTTTTTGACATGCTTTTCCATGAAGGTAGGGCTACATTGTTTATGTGGCTAAAGAACCAAAATGTTGATACAAAATAATTTTGCCATTGTGACTAACATTGACAAGTGTTTTCTGTGTTGAGATTCATGTACTGATTTGTTTACGGTGGCTGGATGATCTGCTCACATTTGTGTCTTAGTACTGAAATTGCATTGATTGCTTTGGGTGACCTTTTATCCTCATAAGTAGCTAGTCTTCTCCTTTCTATATCTCCTTGCATTCTACAATTCGAAGTTTCTTGTGAATACAGATGTGCATATAAATAAACTAGCATTCTACAATTATTGGTATTGAGAGAATGGAGTGTAGAAAAAAGTTTTGACTGGTTCAAGAATTATATTGGTTTTGGTGGATTTTTTTTTGTTTTTTGTTTTCTAAATTCTTTGTTTTCCATTCTCGCTAAAGAAAACAACTGGATTCTTTTACTTGTCAAATATGTTCCCTCTTTCTTTTGCTCATTTTATCATGGAGTAAGTACTTGTAGGTTTCAATTATTTAACATCTTTGCTTGACGGGTATCCTTTATCACATTTGGCAGTCTGGACTATTCAGTATTGTGTATCTAGATATTGTCCCTGAGGGTACACCTGTCCCTTGCTAGCTTGATATTTCTGTTTAGTACAATAACCTATATACTGTTACTAAAGGCTTTACTGATC